TTAGAACTAAAGTCCAAAATTATCATAGTAACCTTTCTATTTGTTTGTTATGTTTATGATATATACACAAAACAAGGATAATACATACGAATAAGCATAATGTTGCCACACGAACAATAATAATAAATGAGAAAATTTTGTTTAACTCTTAACGTAACGTATATCGATTACAATTCTGTATTCTCCTTTTCAAAAGTAACATATAGCAACATGTATTAGAACCGGGGAACAAAAAATTACACGTTCTATTAAAAGGTCAAAGGAAACTTGAACACAAGAAAGTGTATAAAAAATATAACTCATGTTTGCACATTAATTGAATATTTATGTTATTTCTTTGTTGTTAATTAATTGATTATTTATAATATACAATACATAAATGTGAGGGCAACCTTGAAATATTAAAAGTTCATGAGGGTATATGGGTAAAATCCCATCATGGATTTGTGGCATGTTACAAATCTCACGTCAATATGTGAGATTTACAAGTCTGTGGGGTCCATAAATTTGGACCCTTAAAATCCGTGGGCCCCACGAATTTGGTCTCTAAAAAATGCAAGCAAACATGGGTCGTTTGCTTCGTGGATTTGAAAAATGAAAGTTTTGGTAAAACTTGGGTTTTGTAAAACCATAGATATAGGAGGGTTTTGGGTTCATTATGGACTTGAAAAAAAAAATCATTGTTTTTTTTTTTTTTTTTTTGCAATAAGGGAGGCAACAGCCAAGAAAAAGAAACAGAGGGGAGGGGGTTACATAGTAGGAGTCACCACTATCTGGCGCTCAAAGGAAACACTCATGCAATCATCACGAAGAAATGACCTAAGCTCTCTTGGCGGGTCAGAGAGTTCATGCATACCGTAGGGATAGACGAGACTGTGCTTCGAGAGCCAGTCCGCGACTCTATTCCCTTCTCGGTATGTATGCACAACTCTAACTAGCCAGTCTTGAGCAAGCTTCCTCCTAACAGAGTCCAGAAGCGCAGCATACGGATGAATAGGATCACGCCGACCGTTGATCAACTGAATAGCCAGCTGCGAGTCGGTTTCGACAATTAAGTTCACGCACCTCAACTTCCAAGCAAGGTTCAAACCATGGTGGATCGCCCACAGCTCAGCCTGGGCCGCCGTAGCCTCCCCAATCTTAGCTACATACCCTGCAATCCAGTTCCCATTCTCATCTCTGATCACCCCGCCAGCTCCCGCCACGCCTGGGTTGCCTGCCGAAGCGCCGTCGACGTTCAGCTTCAGCCATCCTCTGCTGGGCGCATGCCACTGGATATGGGCTGAGACCCTCTCAATCTCGGCTGCTGGTCTGCCCGTGGAGAGTGAAGGGGCCTGCCAGGCTCTATGCCAAAGTAACGCCTTGTGCTGAATCGCATGAGCCAGAGTAGGAGCTGAGAAAGCCTTGGAGCTCCCTTGAAAACAAGCTGTGCACCTGTTTTTCCAAATCAGCCAGCATGCCACGCTGAAGAAAGTCCGCCAGTCCATTCCGGTTTCCATAGTATCCTCGTTGCTGAGGTTGCTGCGAATCCAGGTATCCTGATCACTCGTGAAGAAGTCCCCTTGTCTATTGCTCGGCACCCATCTCGACCAGCAGTATTGAGCCGGTGGGCAGTCCCGAAGCGCATGTAACACTGTCTCCGGCCTGTCTTCGCAGTGGTAGCAGGCTGGGGAACCGGCACACTTCCTGTAAAAACGAAGAGAATTGGTAGCAATCCGATTTAACGAGGTCATCCACATGAAACATCTCACCCGTTCAATGGTGGGCAGCGTCCAAATCCCTTTCCAGAAAGGCTCGTCTTGCTCTAACCGCGGCTCTAACAGCAGCTGGTACGCGGTTGTGGTCGAGAAACGACCATCCGCCGAAGCAGACCAGAAGAGCCTATCTGTTTCAGTTGTCGTCGGATCCACCAACACCGCCGTTATTTTCTGCAAGATATCAGCCGGCAGCAGCGAGGAGAGCCTCCCAGTATCCCAGTTTCCATCCTCATCCAGGTAGTCCGCCACTTTAAGTCCTCGCTCCTCCTCCCGAATAGATTGTGTAGCCACCTCAAGGAGCGGTCTCTGCAAAAGCCAGTTATCAAGCCAAAAGTTAGTACCTTTCCCATTATGAATATTCCAAGCACAGCCCATTTTCAACAAACTGGACGCTTTCATAATACTCGCCCAAGTGAAAGAACTTCCCTGACAAGAATGGAAAAGGTTCAAATCTTCCCTCTTCCTCCCGTACTTGGCCCTCATAACCTGGGTCCAGAGGGACTCCTTCTCCTTGAGAATGCGCCAACCACCCTTGGCAAGGAGGGCCAGGTTAGCTTTGCGAAGAGGTCGAAGCCCTCCTCCTCCTTGCTTCCTTGGCTCTGTGAGTTTGTCCCACGCCACCAGATGCATTTTCCCTTGATTCTCTTCTTTGCCCCAGATGAAATCCCTGTTAATCTTATCAATCGAATTGCAAACATTCACAGGAATCATCTCAGTTTGCATAGTATAAGTAGGAATAGCAAGGGAAATCGAACGAGCAACCGTCAGTCGCGCCGCCAGCGATAGCCGTCTGGCTTTCCATGGAGCTAGCTTTCTCCGAATCCTCAAGATGAGCTCCTGGTATCTACTCCTGGTGACTCTGCCATGAATGGTCTGAATTCCCAAATATCTCCCCAGCTCTTTCGCCAACGGAATAGCAGCTTTATCACTAAGGCGTTGGGCTCTGGCTTGGCAGATATTAGGCGAGACATACATGATAGATTTAGTGTAATTAACTTTCTGCCCGGAGCTCTCACAGAACTCGTCTAAACACTGGCGAATGATCTTAACTTGTCTTCCCTCCGCTCCTGCAAAAAGCACCAGGTCATCTGCAAAGAAAAGATGAGTTAGAGCCGGCCCGCCCTGCGAAATGCTAAGGGGTTTCCATTGCTTTTCGCAGACTGCCTGATCAATTCTATGAGATAAACGTTCCATGCAGAGAACAAAAAGATAAGGAGAAAGAGGGTCTCCCTGTCGCACTCCCCTAGAGGGGGTAATGGATTGAGAAAGCTTGCCGTCCCAAAGTATGCGCATCCTATTTTGTTCAACGCAATACATGATACATCGGATCCACGAACTTGGCAACCCCACCTCCACCAGAGTATCTCTCAGAAAATCCCAGCGGAGCCTGTCATACGCTTTCTCCAAGTCGATCTTGACAACCATCCCACCCTTCCTTCCCTTCTTCCTCCGCAGCGAATGAAGAACCTCTTGGACAATGATAATGTTATCCGAAGTCTGACGGCCAGGGATGAAGCTACTTTGCCTCGGCGAGACCAGCTTATTCATAATCGATTTCAAACGACTCGTCATAGCCTTGGTGATAGATTTCAAGCTCACATTATTTAGGGAGATGGGGCGAAGCTGACTCACAAATTCTGGCTTTTCTACTTTGGGAATGAGGACAACCGTCGAGTCTGACACGGCTTCTGGAAGCGTCCCATTCTCAAAGAAAGCAATAGCCATGTCTGCGAGTGCTTTTCCAACCACTGCCCAACCTCGTTGGTAGAAAGCAGCTTGGAATCCATCCGGTCCGGGCGCCTGCAAAGCCTTTATGTCAAAAATAGCTTGATGAATGTCCCTGATCGTGAAAGGACGAAGAAGCCGCATCCAATCCTCCTGGCCAAGGTGCGGAAATACCCCTTTGGGCATCAGATCTGCATACTGATTTGAATCCTGCAAATACAGCTTAGAGTAGAATTCAAAAACCATATCAGCAAGCTCCTGCTTCTCAAACACCCATTCACCATTCTCATTTCTCAGACATTCAATTTTGTTAGACCGGCGCCTGAGCTTGGTGAGCTGATGAAAGTAAGCCGTATTTCTTTCTCCAAACTTGACCCAGCTTTCCCGAGATCTTTGGAACCAAAAGAGCTCTTCTTGCTCCAGGGTCCTGTCAAGTTCCGCTTCTAGCTTGGAGTGCAGCTTAGCCAGGCCAGGATCGAAAGCGTAAGCTAGCCTTTTCTCGATGCCCTCGAGCCTCGCCACCAGCCTTTTTTTCCGTTGAAACACGCTGCCAAAAACGTTCTTGTTCCACGATTTCAACCTGTCCGACAAATCCTGCAGGGCAGCAGGGAAGTTAGCTTGACCATTCCAATTATCATTAAGAAAGACACTAAATTCCGGATGAGTAAGCCAAGCTGCTTCGAACTTAAAGTAATTAGAAGAGGTATGGTGGACTCCCTGGTTTGCCACATTGGTCAAGATCGGATTGTGATCCGAACTAATCCTGGCTAGGTGAAGAACAGTCGTGTTGGGAAAGAATTCGTTCCACTCGAGGTTGCAGAGACTTCGGTCGAGCCTGCTAGCCTTAAAAGTCTGATTCTGGTTGCCCCTGCTCCAAGTATATTTTGCACCAGAGAATCCCAAATCCACTAATTCAGCTTCATTCAACCAATCCCCAAATCGTTTGCAACGACTCAGAGTTCTAGGCGAAGGCACTCCTGACTTCTCGGCTGGGGAAAGGATGGCATTAAAGTCGCCGGTGAGGATCCACGGGCAGGAAATGGCTTTGCTTTGCTCAATGAGATTGTGCCACAAGTGACGTTGGAGCTGCTGGCGGGGCGACGCATATACTGCCGTCAACTTCCAGCTACGCGTGGCACCTGCAGTGATCGAGAGAGTCAGATGTTGTGGACCAGCCGAGTCCACCTCTACGTTCCATTTCTGGCTGTTCCAGAAGAACCAGATACCACCACTTCTCCCGGTAGCCTCCACTCGCAGAACATCCGGGTATCCCAATCTCTCACAGACCTTGTTGGCCACTTCGCCGCTGACCTGAGGTTCAAGAAGAATTACGAAATCAGGCTTGTGGAGCTGGAGCGCTAGCTTCAAGGATCGAGAGAAAGCAGCACTACCCGCTCCACCCACATTCCATGAAAAAATTTTAAAATCAAAGTTGTAAGAATCAGACATTAAAGGGGATAAAAAGAGGATAGAACAGGGGGAGAAAAAACTCGGCGCCAGCAGCGAAGACGACTGCAATCATCCGGACGGGCGATCAGTGGCCTCCGCGTTCCCTGTGGCCTCTGTGTTCATCGTTTCCTCTCGGGCAGGGATGACTAAACTCGAACCCCCATCACCCCCCGCCCTTGCCATCTCCGTCCAATCCTGGATCTGCTTCAAGGTGAGGGAGACTCTTCTATCTCTACTCCGTCCCTTCCTTTCCTTGATTGGTGTCCAAATCTGCAGCGGTTTCCCTGGGTTGTGGTGGATTGGGGTCCCTTTCTTTGGAGTGAGCATCCCTTTGTTTCGCTCCTTCTTTCCCCCACTCTTCTTCTTCGTTCGCGCGACTGCCGATGGAGCTTCCGGGTCGACGACCCGTGGCGGAGGTGGTGTGTAGGGCTGGGCTTCCACGACCCGGATTCTGGTTCCATTGTTCTCGGAGACAGTCTGGGTAGCCACAGGGGGGTGGCTGGTTGGCCCCGTATCATTTCCAATGGGCTTATGCTGCTCAGCCCTTTTCTCCTTAGTGGCCTTGTTCGAAGGAGAAACCGGAATGAAACTCTGGCTGTCTTCTCCCATGGGCCTACTGGACGAGGCCTCCATCGGATGCGGCCCAAGAAGGCCTTCGCCCAACTTCGAATTGTGACCCAAAACCTTACCCTTCCCCTTGTTATCTCCCTTACCATTCTTTTCATTGTTCTTGCCCTTTTTGTCCGCCTCCAGTTTGTTCTCAGCAGAGACCCGTTGCTTAGGCTGAATCCTTGAATTATTTTGAGAATATGACTTTCCCATGGAAAGTACTTCTTTCCTTTCCTCAATTCTAAGAGAGCCGTTGTTAGTTTCCATCTCTGCCTCCAACCTTCCATGTTTGATCTGTTCTCCTTGGTTCCGCCACGATTTTCGCGTGACCACCATCCACGGGCCGTATCCCGCGTTCGATTCCGCCTTCGTGTCGCCGTTCGAAGCATCTCCTGCCGGCAAGGCCACCGTCTTTCCTTCCTCCCCTTGTCGCCGATTAAGATCGGGGCAAGATAGGTTAGTGTGACCCACCCTGCCACACTCAAAGCACACCATAGGCAGATTTTCATACTCTACCTTCTGCCAATACCCATCTAATCTAATTCTGGGAACCAAAGGTTTTGAGAGATCCACTTCTACCGCCATTCGCGCAAATTTGGCTCGTTGTTGATTTTGCGTATGAAAGTCAAGCTTGATGGACCTCCCAATAAGATTTCCGAGGGTGAAAAGAAGCTCCTTGTGATAAAAATGCACTGGTAGACCTGGAAACTGTATCCAGACGACCATGGATCGCGGCAGACTGTTCATCGTTCTGAAATTCGGCGTCCACTGGTTAACCAGAAGATAGTGGTCAAAAATAACCCAAGGACCTTCAGTAAGCGCTTTGAAGTAATCCTGATCATTGCCAAGTTTAACCAGGAAGCACTCGGCATCTAAAGCAAAAATTTCCATAGCACTTGTAGGTCTCCAGAGCGCTCGGATCCTACTACACATCATTGAGTATCCAATAGATCTCCCCAGCAAGCGCACGACGAGCGTTCGCTGCCACGGTTTGCTGAGTTGCGCCCTGAACTTGTCCGAGACTCTGAGTTCTGGTTCGCCCTCGTAACAACCTGTGATCAGGTCGTGTTCTCCCACCGGAATCCATTGCTGGGAAGAGGTTTTCGGAGAGCTTGTTCCGCGTGTCAGCACACCAGCATATGACACTAGCTGTCGGGGCTGGGATCCATCAGAGGAAAAAGGGGGGATCTCATTCCTTCTATCCGTCCCGACATCCGGTCCATCTTTGGCGATCGCCATCTCAGCAGTCTCCGTCACTTCCATCTGCTCAACAGGTGGGTCTGACGGCACGGCGACATCGGGCTCGATCCCGGGCAAAGAAGAGCGGAGCCCCATCTTCTCATGACCGGTTCGGAGTGTGTCCCCACTGAGGTGGTGTTGTTCGTCCGGCGGCCGCCCCGTCGGGGTAGCTGCCGACAAAGAGCAAGAAGAAGATTTCGTACAGAGCATTTCAGAGCCTTCTTCGAATATACTCACTTAAGTGGTGTACTTAGTATATAAAACCCCAAGAAAGAAGCACGAAATTATGATTACATGATTTTGACCCTTAAAATTCGTCGTACCCATGGATTTATTTTCCTCAAATACATAAAACAAACAATGGAATTTGGACCAAATCCATTATCAAATCCATCACTAAATCCATCAAGCAAACAACCCCTAAATTTATCTTATGGATTTTCTTTATGTATCCTTGTATGTAAAGCAGCTTAGTTCGTACATTTTACGATTTCACAACAATTTATCTCTATAGTGCAGTTGTACGATAGTATTTTCCAATGTTTTTGATTATCATCTATAGACTTTAAGTTTCTCGTTCACCTCAATTTGATAATTTTATAGCGTTCCATTTTTTCCTTCAACAGAAACCTCCCCAGACCCCCCCAAATCAATATTTTCCAAATTCTAATTCTCAATTATAAAAAAGCTGCATATCGTAACCGCCCAAACCAAGCTGATCACACACATTTAACAGCCGAAAGATTTTCCCCCCTTTTTTGGCTGTATATTCTTTTGTCTCTCTACTCATAAAACCGCTTCACAAATGAAGTCGTCGATGCCCATTTCTATAGCAGTAAAGTGGGTCGCCGGCCGGCGGCCATCCTTCAATAGTTTTCCCACCTGCCGGTTGCCCCACATGCATATAAAATATGAGCTCTAGCTCTATTATCTCCACGACTTCCTCCATCTTTTCCATGTCCTTTTTTTCCAGGTTTTGATTGTCTCAGTTGTAGCCTGTAAGCTAGCGAGCAGCTAGCAGCAGAAGAAAGAAGTGATAATCGTACATTCGTTGGTTGAGACTTTATCTAATACTTCTTCCGTGGGGGGAAGCCAGAGAAGGACCATGAAAGTCTTCACTCGTGGCTCCAAGTTGCAAACTTAATTGATTGGTACTTTTGGCCTTGCTTGGACAACCAACACCCACTACTATTGCTCTTGTGACTTTAGTAGAGTATGAGTAGATGTGTGAATACGGTGGTGGTAGGGGTAGAAAAAAATGGGAGACTTGATCTAATCATTGGAGAATCCATTCTTGTCTCCCATAGGACATATTATAATAAGTTGTTTCGTGCCACACTTTACAAAATTTAAAGTTAACATTGTAGCAATACTGTTTGGAAAATATGAAACCGATCGAACTGAGATAGAATCGAGTTTGGGGAGGGGGGGGGGGGGGGGAATCGAGCCAATACACACAAAAATTTGGTTCACAATCCAAGGCAAACTGTTGTTGAATGTGATCGAATTCAGTTTCATATGTGGACCACAATTTGAATTTTGTTTTAGCACAACCCAATACGTAGATATAACGATATACCAACCTATGAATACTTGATAAACTCATGAAAGCGGACGATTTCGACCTAATGCTCGTTTTCTTTACCCCCTACTATAGTCTACATATATGGTACATTTGCTCCTGTGCGTGATAATGGGGGTTGTACATACAAATAAAGAAACCATCATTGTATGAATAACGAGCCCGAGGCATATGGAAACAAAAGAAATCACCAGCTTGAGGTAAAGGTGTGTTCAATGGTCCCAACTCCCAACCTATATGGGTCCAAATTGGTAGTCACCTAATCAATCTGTACTAATTTGTAATTTTCTTTTCCAGTTAGGTCCGATTCCGATTCTGATTCTCAATCAGCTAATAATAAACCAATCTGGGGTTTATTCCTCTGTTACAGAAACAGGATCTAGTTCTGATACCATTTTCATCCACATCTATCTTCCCTCTCTCTCTCTCTCTCTGATTTGCTTCTTCCTGGGATTTAATTTATGAACTGTAGGGTAGGCTCCACTGGATCTTCTTCTTCTTCTTCATCGTCGAAGACACGAAGCTGTTGTAGGTTCAGGCCAAGTGGGCAACAAGGCTGTGGTGTAATAAAACTGGAACCCCATGCGCCTAGCTTTTCAAACAATGGTCCCAAAATGAGTCCCCAAGTACTACAGTGGTCTGCTTTCTGGGCCGTTGGCGGCCCACACAAGAGGGGGGGAAAAGCGAAGGCAAGGTTACAAAATACAAACTTTCCGCGACAGTGTCGCCGCCGACGATAAGGTTACCCCTTTCGCGGGGCTGCCGGGGGTTGGGTGGGTCGGCCCGCCGGCCGGCGCGTGATACGCATTCGTACTTTTATGTTGTTTGCTTTGAGCTCGTGACTTGGCGCGGCTGAGTTTTATCAAACCGGGGGTTAGTTTGAAATTTCTACATGTGTCGACAGATGTTTTAAAAACAACGATTAATATTGAGAGTCATAAAATAACGGATTGTAAGGACAAACCAATAATTTAAATTGTTGATAGATACTCGTGTATGTATTTTAACCGCTTCCTGACAAAGAATGAAGGGAACAAGAGCTAAAAGCTCACTTGTATTACATTGAAGAAACTTGAGAGTTGGAAAAAAAAATTAAGGAGAAGATTAGTCGTTGTGCTCTTACTTTTATAGATAACGGCGACGGTGATGTAGTCCCCAACAACAACAAAAAGATGTTGCGAACTTCTGGTTCAGCTAGCTATAGTTGATAGGGGTGGAAATCGGTACGGTATCGGTATCCCAATACCAAATAGCGAAATTCCGACAACTGAATTACATCCTAAATTCAATCTCAATCCCAACCCCTAAATAATTTCGGTATCACAATCCCTAAATATTTCGGTATCCCAATCGGTACTTCGGTATCCCAATCGGTATTATCTTATAAGATATTAATTACCTTTGCAATTAATAATTAAATATATAAATTAGATTTGATTGTTTAATATAGGACAAAGAGACTAAGCAAAGAGTCTTGAGTTTGGCTAGAGCTAGGATATGGATAAGGAGAATGGAGAAGAGGTGACATCTCAAGTTTTTGTCATTGCTAATCTTTAATTTGATGAATTGGAGGCTGAGAGAAGACTAATACTAATGTTTATTTTTGGTGTTATGAAAATAACAATAGATTGGTGGTTGATGGTCGTGTAGTAGTGAATGAGAGAGTTTAGTTGGGAGCATAAAATACACATTAGCTTATATTTTGGTAATGTTCGGTATTTCGGTATATACCGATCCCAATCCCAATCCCGTAATCCCTAATACCGAATAACAATTGAAATTGAATCTCAATCCCAATCCCAAGAAATAATACATGTATTCGGTAATACCAAATATAGACAAATTCTGTACGATATTCGGTATATCTCAAATACCGGTACCAAACTTCCAACCCTAAATAGTAGACGTAAAACACTTGCTTTGCCTAAATTCACTCAAACATTTCTCCAATGTGGCACAAGTGTACGTGTTTTTTAGTTCTTCTTCCTCTTTCTATCCTCCGAAACGTTATGTCATAGAAGAGACACTACAGGAAAATACACTTTTGCCTAGAGTAAAAACGGTAGTTAATAGTCACAAAACGGTAGTTAATACTTTTAGCTACGGTCAAAATACAGTGGTTAACTTGGCCGTGGGTAAAAGTCAAAACGGTAGTTAAAAGTGATTATTTACTACGGTTTCATACTACGGTAGTTAAATGTATTGACTACGGTAAAAATACGGTAGTTATTAAGTTTTATTAACTACAGTTTTAACGGAAGTTAAAAGTTATTTCTAACCACCGGTCTTCTAACGGTAGGGAATGAGTAGAAAATTAGCTAGGGTAAGTTACGGTAGTTGAAGAGTGAAACAGTAGGGAATGAGTTCACAATTAGCTAGGGTATTTACGGTAGTTAAAAAGTGAAACGGTGGGGAATGAGTTCACAATTAACTATTGTACTTACGGTAGCTAAAGGGTACAACGGTGGGGAATAAATATTTCGTCTATCATAAACAGTCACTAAAATTGAAAACTATTGTCAACTACGCAAGTTTCTTTCATTTTCCAACATGTCAAACAACAACCTAAAGAAAACATTCGTAACAACTACTGATTTTATATAATCAGTAAACAATTCATATACAAATGCCAACTATGCAACTATTCTTGCTACTACTGTTAAGGAATTTGACATCCAAACATTCTTTCTAACTAATAGTTTTGAATGAAATTCACACATCTTGACTTCATGTACAAAAGGTTGTAAGTCAACCATCAAAAGCTATTATTCTGTCAAGAATCAAAATCCATTATGCTTCAATCTCTAATATAATATAGTCATCTTAAACTTGAGGAAACAAACCTGCAAAATTAACAAGGAACATTAATTAGTATCATTTTGATTATAGTGTCACTTAGTAGTACTTCAACTACCTAAATAAGAATATGCTTTGGTAGGGAGACAGGAAACATAAGAATTGATGGATAACAATTCTTTAGAAAAGAAGAAAGTTACATAATTAGCAAAAATCAGCAGCTAAGTTGTTGCGATAAACTGCAATTTTTCACCAACTTAATGGTGTCCCCTGCCATGTACAAGATGTGAAGCAAGCCTAGCATTTAAGCAAGTATATATTCAACCCATCATCATATTGTCATTCTAATCCCAGCACATAGCAAATAACATCATATTCACTATAACATGGAAATACTTTGTTCAATCGACTTACCTCGTTTCATCATCCCACCAACATATACGATCTAAGTTGGTTTCTTTTTCTTTGACGATCGAGCACCCAACATTGCTGCCACTTGAACTTTAACTTGTTCCGCTATTTTAACTTCCATTTCCCCCATAACTTCAGCCCTAGTTTCAGTTCTCACTTCAGCCCTCATTTCAACCATCATTTGAGCATTCATTTCAGCTCTCTCTCTCTCTCTGCAGCCTCCCTATCTCTCTCTGCAGCCTCTCTATCTCTCTCCGTAGCCACAAGCTCCTCTATACGCTTTCGCATAGCAACCTTCTCTTCTTCAGATTGGCGCAATCTAGCATCTAACCCCTTATCTTTTGAGCTACCAACCTTCAAGTCTTTAGGCTTAAAAGCACCTCCAAAGCAAGTCATATGGCCATGATTTTGCTCTCCAAAACATTTGACTACCAAGTCATATTGACTAGAAGTTGGGGCATCTTCCATAGCTTTCTTAATTTGTTCCTATAAACATATATAATCACTTAATATGCTTCTTACACACTAAAATATAAACATTGGCAAACTTACATGTTTTTCTTTTGCTTCAGGATCTTTTATTGCCTCTCCTTGCTTATAAGAATGCTCAAAAACTTGCTCCAAAGTTGGATCTTGACCAAGTTTTTCCCTCTACAATAACAATATGTTTACCAAAACACAACAAGTAACTAAACAATACTCTCTACGAAAACAGAGCAAGCTGCCCAAAGAATAAATAGAGCTTAACATGCACCTATATAACCAAAAGTAGTGAACTTAGCTTCCTTCTGCTGCTGAGTTGCTGTTGTACACAGTAGTGAAGTTAGATAAAATACTTCTTTGAATTACAAGTAAATTATACACCAACCAAGCCAAAGAGCCATCACATCACTCTTATCTTCTCTCAGTGTTGCACTTTGCCTTTCAAGTAAAGCTTATAAAGCTCGTATAACATATAATATAATGATGTATAACATTACAAAATAGGATTACAGAATTGCAAACAGACAATAATCGTCCATACCACCACTAAATCTCTCTTCTTCTCTCTTGGCCATACATTTCCCAAGAGAAAACAAAAAAACTATCCCCATGAATGGCCAAAAAACCATTCCAATCTTGTTACTCCAAATTCCAAATCTCTCTTGTTCTTTCTTTTTACCATATAATCATCAATGATGTATTATTATCAATTAAGAAACAAAAGAAACACAAAAAGTAAGAACGCCAAGGATCTAGCTCTTTTGTGATACAAAGCATCAAAGACTATACTAATCGACCACCCTCCTAAGTCTATTGTCCAAATATGCTTTGTAGTCATAACAATGACACAATAATGTACCCATCATATTAAACTATACTTCAGCCTACCCTTCCAAACACAGCCATCTCTGACACGTGTGGATTCATGTCAAGCATATAAAAATTAGGATCACTTCAATATAAACCGGTCAAAACTCAAATTGACTTTTTAATTAACTATGCTATTACCTTTTGGATTTACTAAAAACTCCCAGAATTCATAGCAAATTAAAATTTGTTTCTAATTGTCCTGTAGCAAAAACTAATCAAGCATCCAACCACCAAGGCCTATTAACGACAACAAATTTGTTTCTCAGTACCCCATTAACATCACCAGGGCAACAACAAATCAAAGCTGCAATAGAGCATCCCGTTCGTTCTATGGAACTGAATCAAATCTATAACCAACATCGCCTGCAAAATGAACTTACCGATGTGGCAGACGAGATGCAAAGGCGGCTAGTCGGACGGACAGTCTCCAGACTCCAATTGTCGACTGGCGAGTGAGAACAGTAGCAAGCCAAAGGAACTTCTCGCCTGCCGCTTTTGTTTCTCTCAGCTTCAGCTGCTGCCCCCAACGAATTTGCACTTACTAACCCATTTGGCGTTAGGTTTCAAAGCCTTCATACGCAGGGAGTGGAGGGGAAACCTACACAATCAGAAAACATTAACCCTAGGAGAATATATACGAACATCAATCAATGTGGAAACTAGATTTGAGCGAATAGAAATTGATGTTCAGAGATGGGACGGTCGTGAGTCTCTTACCGTTGGTCAAAAGGTGAATACGAAAATAGAGGTACGGAGCCCAGTCGGCGTAGATGAAGGCAGGACAGTCGACGAAGATGGAGACAAAGATGGGAACAGTCGACGGTAGTGGGGAGAGTAAAGACGAGGCCGAGTGGTCTGAAGAGATACTCGGTGGAGGGATTTGAGACGACCGGTGATGCCCAGCGAACGAGACAAACAGAGAACTACCGCCAGGGATAGATGAAGAGAGATCGAAAGGCGAAGTTTGGTAGGTGCGGCTGCGCGGGGAAGTGAGGACGATGTGAGGAGAGATGCGAAGATATTTTTTCTTGTTCTGAAAAAATGAGTGGCCAATTAAAATTGTGAAGAAAATAATTTAGTAAAATAAATTAAATGGCTACGGTACATTTCATTATTGGTACCTCCAAGATTAACAGCTACCGTATTCATCCTCAATTCCTACCGTTTGTTAATACGGTAGTAATTAAGTCATTATTGACTACCGTTTTGGCCACGGTAGGTAATTTATATTTATTAACTACCGTATTCGATACGCTAGTCAAATAACGGTAGGTAGAAGTAGTATTTCTTGTAGTGAGAAGATACTATTAGGAGTGTCAAGTAGAGTGTCTGCTGTCTACCATAAATGCCAATAGGGGTGTTCAAATAGTAGTGTGGTTACCGTGGTAACCATTTTAACCAGTAGTATTTGGCTAATTTGGTTTGGTTAATTTCGATAATTGGTTTGGTTTGGTTAAAAAATTTAGCTTGTTTGGTTCAGGTGATTTGGTTTGGTTTCAGGCACTCCTAACCAATCAAACCAAATTAACCAGTTAAGTAATTAGTCATATATCTAATATATATTATATACACATACTTAATACTTTGCATAACCACTCAAGAGTCAACTGTAAGATAATTGTATTTGTTACATGTATTTACGTTAAGGGTTAACTGCAATTATGTGGATTGTTATGTGTTGTTCATTATATAAATTGCGAATAGATGCACTAACTGAAAATTCTTCTCACTTAATGATAATGTGGTGTTATATTGGTTATTTTGGTTAACCAATTAACCAAACCGAATAAACTTTAGTTTGGTTAATTTGGTTGTTGTATTAGTTTGGACGGTTTGGTTATGATATTGTATTCCATGGTTAATAGATTTTAGACTTATTTGGTTTGGTTATTACCATGGTAACCATTTGAACACCCCCTAAATGCCAATGCCTTGGCTCCACGCGAATAAGGGCTTACCTATTAAAAATTTAATGCGAAAACTAAGCTAAGTTTCAACTATCATGATTGTTGATTCAAAGTAAAGGATGATTAAATTTTCAAAAAAAAAAACAAAATTAAATCCTCATTGTCATGGTCGCTGTGATGGCAAAAGGGTTTGGAATATAGATTGGACTACATTAAAATTCGCAGACGAGAATGAACTATATAGTCTAGACCATATTATGACCTTATATTTGGAACTTGGCTTGTTGTGGCTTTCATCTTTGTTATGAGATTTGATTTAGGTATAAGAACTAAACATGCATGATAGAAATTTACGTTTCAAGCCAAGAAACAAGTTCCCCCCTGCTTCTTAGCCCTGTTTCCGATTTCGTGAGTCAAACAAACTGTTAATTTTTAGTCAACATGATATGTTTGGTTTGAACCAGATCGTATAGATGTAATTTAGTGTATACCATATAACAAAGGATATTATCCTTGATATGTGTACTAATCCCTTCATTTCGATCATCGACAATATATTTAGTGAAGTCTGAACCAAATCGGACCATACCGAAACGAACTATTTCCAAGCCCAGGTGGCGAATGAATCTAGACGTACATATGCAACTTGATCAGCATTTGGAGATCATTTTGGCCTAAAAACCCAAATCTATGTATGATTTAGCAAAATTATTAGTAGTTGGAAGGAAGGAAATAAAATTGCCCTTATTCTAAGGACTGTCCGGAAAAAACAAGACAATCACCCCCCGGGACCCGCACTGGTCACAACCACTCCACACTGCCCAAAAACGCCGAAAACAGGGGCACTGCGGTCATTCAACAGACGGACCCAGCAGTCTGAAAGAAAAGGGAGTTGTGTCCTATACGCTCACAATAATAAACTCAATTTTGGTTAGCCTCCTTTAATTCCTTTGATTGATGGTGTTTGTTTGTATTGCTACTGTCACAGCACGAGAAAATGTTTTAATGCGCACTGCAAACGTCGAGTACTTTCCCTATTGCTTTGCTACTCCATCGGAAAAATGAGAAGTTTAGCTAGCTGGCTCAAATAATGTTATGAAATTTATGGTGCAAAAAATTCAATGATCCTTGGAAATAGAATAACAAAAAAACGATGAAAGAAAAATCTCTATTTTTGGGATCAACAAAATGAACCGTGCAACTCTACCCATAAGTCTAATCCGGTCCAACCTACTCGGATATATTAATAAAATTAAATCTTAATGTTGGCCGAAGGTTTTCTTTTAATGGAACACGACTCTTTTAGGCGAAGTCCAATGCAAAACACTAAATTTGGGGATTGATCCACATTTTTCCTTCTTTTACACCAATGCGCGCTTCAATTTACATATTTGGAGATCTTAATTTTTCCAGTTTTTCCATTTACTTAAAAATGTACTTATTGAAGCTTGAATATAATTTATTCATGTTAATTTTTTTATAGTTTGTCGTCATTTTTAAATACAAATTTTTCGATAGAATTTTGTTAAATTCTGAGAACGAATTTTTTTGGCGAAAAAATTAGGGACCTAATTTGAGTTTAAACACAACACTTGAAAATTATTGATCTAATTAAACTCCTAACTAATCCGCTAATTAATCCTAATTAACCCCTAAAATCTTTAAAAGAAAAGGATGAGCCACGTGGCGGGCTTTGGGGAGTCTCTATATTTGGGGAACCCCCATTTCCACCCCCAAATTTGGGGGAAAATTAATCTGCTAACTTGAAGATTCGTTAGCAGATACTAACTGATATCCAAAATACATGAACTAGTATCCAAGTACTAAAGTATCTAGAGAGCACAGACTAGTATTCAAGATTTGCTAACTGATATCCACCATGAATCAACTATTATCCCAAATTCACAAACTAATATCTAGACAGCACAGAATAGTATCCATATAGCACATAATTAGTATCCAGATAACACATAAGAGTATCCAGATAACATATAAGAGTATCCATATTGAATACTAGTTGGTTGTTTGTGGATATTAGTTGGTATATGCTATTTGGATACTAGTTTGTGATGTTTTGAATACTAGTCTGTGCTATCTAGATACTCAGCAGATTTGTATATTAGTTCATACAATTTAGATATTAGTTAGTATATACTAACGAATATCCTAGTTAGCAGAATAACTAGGCTGCCAAATTTGGGCCCCAAATATAGAGACTCCTCCATTCATAGAGACTCCATTGGAGTTAACTTTTCCCCAAATATAGAGACTCCCCCATTCATAGAGGCTCCATTGGAGTTAGCCTTAGGTTGGCTACGGATTTCTGGTCACGCAATTCATTGGAAAAATTAGGATATTCTGTCAAAAAAATTCTCTTGAACTCACTAATCTAATGTATTTTTTCAACTGAAAATTTAGGTGTAGATATAATACATATTGTGATTCACGTTGTGTTTTTTCTTGTGTACGGTTTCTTACATAAAACATATTATCGATATACTAGTTTATAATGAATAACCTCTTTATTTCATTTCAGTAAATACTTATGGAAAACACTAGACATATGTTGAAACAAATTGCACTTCATTCAGTTTTAGGCAACAAACTTCTATGCATTTTAATAATTTTTTCTGCCATTAATTTGCTTCAAATTCAATTAGTTATATTATGTTTTCTTTTAAGGTGCATAAAAAGTTGCATTTTATGTGTGTGGGGTTGTATTTTTTTATATAGTTCATCGTGTTCTAATTTTCATGGATAGATTTGGATTCAACGTTTTTAACACCAAAGTGCATGAGATGGGTGATTAAAATTAGAGGTGCTAATTGATTTGATTTCGGTTAATCACTAATCGATTAGGTAGTTAGCGGTTAATCAATAAGCAAAAAACTCATTTCAATAACCGAACCGATATGCTTTATTGATTAACCACCTTTTATCGGTTCGGTTAGTGGTTATTTTGGCGGTTAACCAATAACTACTAAAATACATTCCAACAAGTATGGCTATATCTAATCAAACCAATAGCAAAAATTTTCTTTCACAAAATATAATAAACCAAAACAATAATCATTTATAATACACAAATCAACAATCCATTTAAGTTTAACAAGTATCATTTAACATCAATTTCAGTCCACAAGCATATTAAAGACGAATAATCATACAAATAATTTATCTATATTTCTACATATTAACTGAAAATAATAATTATAAGAAAGAATATCAATATAATACAACATTCATCGAAGCTTCGTGTTTGTTTTTCTTCAAACCCCCAATCCGCTCTCGCTCGCCGCTACTAACGGGGTCTCGGTTGATTTCCCTTCCTTTAGCTACTCAGATGTTTCAGTTCGCTAAGTTTTAAAAGTCCAAAGAGCGCAGACTAGCCACGGAGCTTGGATACGGTTTCCCGATCGGAGATCCATGGATCACAGACGGTATCTCCCCATGGCCTTTCGCCTTTGAAAGCGTCCTTCCTTCTCAATGCCCGGGCATCCATCCAATGCATTCTTTTCGATCTTTTCAGGTAGACTGAACACCAAGCCAATCTCGATGAAAGTAGAAGCAACTACATTAATTCCTTCGACTTCCTTTTGTTGTGGATACAGACGAGCTCACTTCTCTTCCAACTTTCTGATCTTATTCAATTTCTAGTGTCAGAGAAGGATCACTCCTAAAAACAACTCTTCTCTTATATACGATACGGGAGCACTCGCCGGATTAGGAGGCAGTCCCAAGAGTGAAGGAGAGTTTGAGCTTTCAACATATGGGAAAAAAGTTTTTTGCACGTCACATGTAAAAGTGTTGTTGGATCTAATCTATAAGATATCTTATCTATCTTGGCTTCTTCTCTAAAGTGAGTTATTCGTTCCTTCGCCCTTCGGGCTCACTACTTCGTTCCTTCTTTCCCACTTGGCTTGGATTCATGTGCAGCTGCTTCTCGAACAGTAACATCGGCTTCTCGGCTTCTAATGCCAGGGTCTAATCAGTCCGTCTGACGCCCAATTGACAGTAACTCCTCCTTTCTTTTGATCAACTGTGCCATCCTCCTATAGAAATTGCTTTTTCATAAGGGGCCACTCCTTTTCTTTAATTTTCACTTCTCCACGAGACCAAAAGGGAAAGGAGTTAGAACCTTCCCCGGTAGAGGAGAGGGGAGCGAAGGCCACCGGCAAAGAAAAAAGACCAATAAAGATTCACTGAAGAACCAAGGAAAGAGAAAGAAATTAATGAACGGCCGAGCTAGGAAACCCTTTGGGCAGGTAGAGTTCGGCTAAGAGTTTCCAAAGAAAGACTTTTCTATTAGGGGACGGTTGAGGCGAACAAGAGAAGCTAGACCAGGAGTGCACTCTTGCCTCAGTCGAGTCGCAAGGAGTCAAAGTAGTGCGGGAACTTTCTCTTGATTTGAACCCTAGCGAAAGAGAGAGCTCACTTCGGAAAGCAACTCTAACAGAAAGACCGTGAGAGGAGGTTTAACCATAAGAGCCAAAGGGATAAGAGAGGTCGAAGAAAAGGGGTGGGAAAGTGAAAACACCTATTCTAAGGAATTCCCCGCTGGGTTCAAAGACCAATGATGAGGCCCTCGAGTCGCGAAAGAAGGAGTGAAAAGAGCTCCCCCTATTTAAGAGAGTGGCTCAAGCAAAAAGACCAAAAGGTAGAGTGCGAGGAGTGTTAGGAAGCTCTTTCCCCGGGCAAAGAAGAACTAATTCATTCAGTCGAGTCTAGGCGGAGGTTCTAAAATACGCTCGACCGAAAGGGGGAGGAGAAGTTAGGAAGCTAGGAAGAGGCGCGCAACCGCACGGAGTTCAAACCACTCTTACTCTTTTCGCTAGTAAGTGAGAGGAGAAGAAGAAGCTAGACCGGACGGTTCATTTTCAATTGAACCTTCCCCGGCAGAGGAGAGGTTAGAGCTCGCATTTTAATAAGAACAAGAATGAGAGAAATAAGCTCGAAGAAAGTGAGAGGAGAGGAGGGGAATATGTGAAACAGAACCTAACCCGGTGCCGTAGCTAATCGAGTCGCTCTAGAAGCATGTGTACAAGCTCGTAACGAAGGGCGTGATCTTGCTCAGGAAGGCAATTCAATTCTTCGACAGGCTAGTAAATGGAGCCCTGAACTAGCTGCTGCTTGTGAGGTATGGAAAGAGATTCGCTTTGACTTGAAACCAGTGTGGATCCAAATGAGAAAAAAGAAAGAGATAATAAGGAGGCTCCTGTAGGAGATAATATGCATGCTTAAGTATCCTTTTTTATTAATTTTTAATAAATATAATAAAATTAATTACATTCAAATAATTAATTCATAGATAAAACATAAACCAACTAATACAGTAATTTATTTCATATAAACCACAGACAAAATTTCATATTGTGAAAGAATTGCAAAAACATTCGTTGTTTACACTCTTAAGTATAAACAGCATCATCGAAACTAGTGATGGCAATTGAACCCACCTTGTTGGGTATTACTTGACCTGACTCGAGCTGGGACCGGTAGTACCCAAACCACAGTAGCGTGAGGTTGGACATGGGTACTACTTCCGACCGTCCTGCCCCGTCCAGGCTAGGCTGAAATTTGCCCCTGACCCAGCCTGATCCGCCCCTGATTCTTCTGTTTTATCGCTAAACATAAACGTTATATTCTAATAATATATAAGAACGAGTTGACCTTTCCCGACCTGATTTATACCTACACGAATATTACCCGATCTAACACGCACTTGATATGAGAATTGAAATACCCACCCGTATATTTGTCACCACTAGTCTAAACAGCTCACAAAATGATTAATATGGATCACACTATATCACTAGTAAAATTTACAAGAGGAAATGGAAATGAATCGAATTGAACCATCAGAAATTCAGAAAATCAGAATTGTCATCTCTCCCTACTTCCCCTACCTTCTCCTCGGTCCCACTCTCTCCCTCTCCCCGGCCCCACCCAGCAAATCCTTCTGTCCTCCATTACCCGCAAATCAATGCTCCTTTCTCCTTTCTCCTTTCTCCTTTCTCCTTCACCACCACCCCCAAATCTCAAATTTCAAAAATTTCACCTCTCTGTATATAAACACTCTCCACTTCCCCCTTCCAAACCTCACTTTATTCAACACTCTCCTCCACCACCACCGCAATGGCCCCGTCCGTCCCTCCGATTCCGGCGACCCTCCTCGCCCTCTCCCTCCTCGCCATCCTCTCCCTCGCCACCGCCTACCGCCCCTGGCCCAGCACCCACCCAAACGCCACCGACCTCGCCCTCGCCGGCTCCAAGAAATTCGAAGGCTCGTCGGACTTCGTCCACCTCCGCTACCACATGGGCCCGGTACTCACCAACAACATCACCGTCCACATCATCTGGTACGGCACCTGGCAGAAGCCCCAGAAGAAAATCATCCGCGAGTTCATCTCCTCCATCTCCGCCTCCCCCGCCGCCTCCGACCCCACGCGCCGCCGCTCCACCGTCGCCGGCTGGTGGAAGACCGTGCAGCTCTACACCGACCAGACCGGCTCCAACATCTCCCGCTCCGTCGCCCTGGGGCAGGAAAAAAACGACCGGTTCTACTCCCACGGCAAATCCCTCACCAGGCTCTCGATCCAGTCCGTAATCAAGAGCGCCGTCACGGCGAAATCCCAGCCGCTGCCGATCAACCCTAAAAGCGGGCTCTACCTCCTCCTCACCTCCGATGACGTGTACGTCCAGGATTTCTGCGGGCAGGTGTGTGGGTTCCACTACTTCACTTTCCCCTCGATCGTGGGGTACACGCTCCCGTACGCGTGGGTGGGGAACAGCGCCAAGCTCTGCCCCGGGGTTTGCGCGTATCCGTTCGCCGTCCCCGCCTACATGCCGCAGCTGAAGCCGGCGAAGTCGCCCAACGGCGACGCCGGCGTCGACGGGATGGTGAGCGTGATCGCGCACGAGATCGCCGAGCTGGCGAGCAACCCGCTCGCCAACGCTTGGTACGCCGGGCAGGACCCGAGTTTCCCGGTGGAGATTGCGGACCTGTGCGAGGGCATTTACGGCACCGGCGGCGGCGGGTCGTACACCGGGCAGATGTTGGAGGGACGGGATGGCGCCACGTATAACATGAACGGGATCCGACGGAGGTACTTGGTCCAGTGGGTGTGGAACCATGTGGTTAATTACTGTACTGGCCCTAATGCGCTCGATCAGTAGTCAGTTCAGTCCTCCACACTTATTTAGTAGCGCCACTTTCCACTTTCCTCTTTTGGTTTTTGTGTAATTTTTTTTTCTTCTGGAATTTGATGATTTTTCCTTTTTTTGGGTTTACTCTTCTCTCTTTCTGTTTATGGGTGTGTGATATTTTGCATATTTGGATTAAGTTAGTTAAGGGTGGTTAAAAAGATGTTTAATGATAGTTATAGTTATTTATCTAGTACAGTTTTGTTCTCTATCCAATTGTGTTTAATATCAATTGCCCGATAGCAACAATATTAGAATTGTTCGATTGGACGAAGAAATCATGGGAATCTGGCAGAAAGATGAAACGAGAAGGAAAATGATTAAACTGGATAGATGACTTTAAAGCAGGAATATCGAAATGAAGCTAGTTTTTTTTTTGTTTTCTCGTTTAACTTATTGGAATTGACATATCTCATCTTTGCTTAGAGAGGATTAAGTTCATCCAAACTCGTACACGAATATTCAATTTACCTGCCGAATCCGAAATGAGTTGGCTAATAGGGTGTTTGTACTCTCAAGGATAATGCTAATGGTGATAAAGAAAATCACTATTGTTGTTGTTATGTGGTTTGTTTTAATGGTTTTTTGGTGGCATTGAAAACGTACAAATAATAGTCTGTGGAAGCTGCTTAACTTCCATGGAGGAGCCGAGTCGAGGAGACATAAATGGATGAGTCGTTTTCCAACACAGGCTGGTGCAAGCCAATTTTAATTAAAATTGGCTCTCAAGAGGGATTGGCATGAAATTTTTTACATTTAGCATATGACAAAATAAAAGCAACTCACGAGACAAAAGCCGAATGGGTGCCACTGCCATGCCACCTCTCGAGGCTCCCAAGTAGTTGAGCCAAGCTAGTTCAATTCTGAGTTTCGTATTCGTCACTAAAGTTTGAAATACTAGCGGAATATGAATTCGCCTAAATTGTTTTGATCAGTTTGTCAACTCACCAAATTAGTGATAAAAAAACAAAATTCATAAACATTGGGTTTTGAATGATCGATATCGAAACATGGTCAATTTAATGAGTTTGGCGGGAATTTGATACGTGTTAAAATGGATTCGGGGATAATAACTAGTTAGCTTGACGAATAACATGTATGAAGCGGCAATATCCCAGTCTATTCTTAATTTTTCGACCTAACCCTACTATTTCTACCACTAGGATTATTCCTAACTGCTCTACAAATAGCTACTGAAATTACCCTTTTAACTACTTGGAACATAGAGTAATCACAACAAGGCATGATTAAATAACATAAGACAAATCACTCCCAATCTAGTTCCTCAACATAGATCCATACTATTGCTTTTCGTTAAACAAAAAAAAAAAAAAAACTTCAAACCAGATCATTTGACGGGAAACTCGAGTACTCGACTCGAATGAACAACGTGACTGTTACATAAATTAGAGCAACCTATGGTAACACCTGCGTTAAAAATCAAATCATACTAACCAATCTGTTAGTGACATCAAAGTTAGGGTTAGGGATGACAACCAGGTAAAGTGAGGCTAGTTTCCATATATACCATCCCCGTACCACGATATTAAAATCGTAGCCAAATATACATAGCGATATGAATGACAAAGTGTTAAAAGTGAATGAGTCTAGAACATAGTTATAACACATATTCGCGTGGGTTCGGTGCGGATACTTCAAATACCAAAACTGCACCAAACCCATCACCCTATTTGTTGTGTTCGGTAAAAAACCCACCCAAAAATAATATCGATTGAATTTCCCCTGACAAAATCGATTCGAATTCGATTGGACACCCTCAATTAGGGATGGCAACAAAACCCGAACCCATGGGTACCCACCCGACCCAACCCGGTCAACGCGGGTAAAATCCGTGTTGACGGGTTTTGGGCCGGGTTTGGGTTTAAACTCGTTCACTATTCACCGGGTTGGGTTGGGTTTGGGTTTAGGTAAACCCGGCCCGTGGGTACCCGCCCACTCATATAATTAATTTTTTCGGTATATTTAATATTCTAAACAACTATTCTTATTTATTTATTTTTGTGGAGACATGTCTAATTTTTTCTTTTTAATTGTGTACAATGAAGTTGATGTTATGGAGTGGAGACTAAAGAAACTTAATTGAAAGAAAGAAGCTTTCAATTAAACATGTTATTTATGGATAATTTGTGATTTGCTTCAATTTTCTTGAGTTTTCTAGATTGGTGTTGAACAATTTGTATAGTTAATTTGTGATTTGCTTGAATTTTCTAGAATAGTGTTTTATATATGGATAATTTGTATTGAGAGATTGATATTTGACTTTAATTTTGATAAGAACTTGTAATTGTAAATTTTTTACCACAAAACCCGTGGGTACCCATGAACCCGCGGATACCCAACGGGTTGGGTTGGGTTTGAGTTTTTCAAACCCGGTGGGTTTTACCCCGGGCTTTTTTCAAAGATAAACCCATGGATTTGGATTTGGATTTGACAAAACCCGACCCAACCCGACCCATTGCCATCCCTACCCTCAATAATAAGTTATTTTACCATCACTAATCAAAAGTCTGAGTGGCCAACCATGGAAGATGGAAAATCATGGAGTGTCACACCAAACAAAACAATGGCCTTTTACTGGGATTTGAGCCCCCAATGCCATCATCCTACTGCTGCAAATGCTCCTTCTTTTCTTCACAGTTATTAAGCATGGGGAGAAAGAAAAGGAAAAAAGACTCTGCTTTTGCCCTTCTCCCTCTTCTCCCACTTTTCCCCTGTTGGGCAATGGATTGCAGACCTCTGTCGTTTGCCTACTGAGTGGTGCGTAAGGAAAAATGGCGACACTTGCCGCAAACAACCATGAGCAAAATTCTCCCTTCCAACGCGACTTTCCTCCATAACGTATTCGTGTCGAGTTGTTTATAAGCTCATAGTATAAGCTTTTCTGCTTTCAGTTAAAGGCACCCGAACAGAATAACAGGTCACGGGTGTTTGTTTTGGGCAAACAAGAAATCGTCATGCAATTTAGACTCAAACGCCGACCATATTAAGTATGATGCATATATGCTGCATTTTCTATTCTAACCGTTACTATCTATAGGGATCTATATGACTCAAATGTGAAATGGAGAAAGGTGATGCGAAAGTCGTGATTGATAAGCTTAGTGTGGATGTACAATGGGGGATGGTTTTGCCGGTACGAGAATCGAATGCTTTGCATACATATCATTAAGCAGGGGCGGAGACACAGTGTTAGAAGGGTGTGCCGTGGCACACCCTTGGGTCGGGGCTAGAACATTAAAAAATAGGGGTATTAGTTTATGCTATAGCTAGGATTTGAACATGAAACCCCCTTACTATTAGCTTTGACATCTTCCACTAAACAACAATTACTTACATGATACAATAATACGTTCTATTGCATATATATAATTTACCGTTTACAAATAATAAGTAAATTAAATTAAAAAACCTCATAATTACATGCTTATTCAAGAAGTAAACGAATGTATTTTACAGACTTTTCAAAATATGAAAACCCGTCGTGGGTCACTATAAAAAATTGATAGTCATTTTAATTTTTTTAAATTGGCACCCCCTTACTCAAAATCCTGGCTACGCCACTGTCATTAAGGTAATGGTGTTTAAATCAATGAATAGTTTGGTTGATAGTCTAGTCTAGTCTAGTCTAGTCCATAGGGGGCTATGATCTAGCAATAGGTGCCACACATTGTTTGTCCTTCCGACTCGGCCGTTGCGGATGGGTTACCGTATCACGTTGTCGGTGGTTTTGTAAATTGTTCTATTAATGAATAGGAGTTAGTGAAGCATTACACCTGCTTTACATTAAAAAAAGAAGAAGAAGGTAATGGTGTTTAATTTGTTAACGACGAGAAAATAGGATTGAGCTCGTCTTTCAGCTGAAAATGACCATTGATTTTTGTTCGCATAACTTGATTATTATAGGCTGGATTTTGAGGTATATGATGCTATACTTAAATTTCTAATAACTAAATCGTAAACTTTAATTCTCTAAACCCTAAACTATAAAATCAAGTTATCGAAAAACAATAATTGATTATTCCAAATCATCAAAATTCAAAATACATCCAATTATCGAATTACTAAAACCCCGCGTACTCCAGAAGTATGCTAGCCTTCCTCTCACATTATGCACAAACACAAAAGCAGAAGTTGTAAAGTTTGGGCTAATTAGCAAGTAGTAGTCTATAGACAGATTAGAAATCCATGCTTGTCATAGACGAAACGAATTTTATTCTTCCAAAGACAAAAATGCGTGCAAATGTAAACTTGTTGACTATTTGAGCATAACATCCAAAATGTGATTATGTTAATGCAAAAAGGCGCCGCCTAACCACAAAGATTAATTAACCTACTTAGATTAATCATGGGAATCCGGTAATCAGAGGGTGCAAATGGCAGAGTAGCGCCAAACAGAATCAGACACACCGGCCGCTCTGCTCCACAATTTCAAAGAAAGCCACCACCATAGCCATATAATAGGAAGGAAGCGTGGAATTTGGACCAAAGAAAACGTATAGTAACCAAGTGGGGATATATAAAGTTCCTTAATTTTTTTTTTTTTTGAGAAACTAAAGTTCCTTAATTTAAACAAAAAGACAGTTGCAAAACCCTAGACCAAGATTCTGTCTTCATGATGTACCCTTTTTTTACGGAGTGGATGAGAGAATGTGTAGTTTTATACTCGTATGGCCTCGAAGATTGGCATTGCACACTTATACAGATGCAGGAACATTCATCAATACCAAGTTCTTTTAACATGGGTTTTGGTCAGCATTACAGCATACTGACAGGAGTTGTATGTACGAGTTGATATCGTCGTATCGGTATTGGCCCCATTTACAGACGATCCAAGCCACTCAATGAAAGCGAGTGACATTGCCTCGAAGTCGTTACACGACCTCGATTCAGAGGTTGCAATCGATGGTGTCAGACCAGTACTTACGAGCCTCATTGGTATGTTGGTCACCGAATTTGACTTATTAGTCATTTTGTTTATCCCTAATTACTTGACTCTTGAAGAAGAAGGAGAAGAAGAAGAAAGGAAAAAGGGGGCACCAGTTTAAAATTCATTCCCAAAGGAAAGTCGTTCATGAAAGCCAACTTGGGAACCAGCTGGTTCACAATTTCATTTGCTGCTTGCTATGAAAGCTTCTTGTGGGCTCAGGAACAAATGGTATAGAAATGGGGAGATGCTGTTAAAAGCATACTGGCTTTTTGACTCCATTCTCAGCTGAGGAAGAGGAACCCCCAGGTTTTGAAAGAGTTGGTGGTCGAAGGAAAAGAGAAAAAAGAGTATTGGTGAAGCACAAAACAGCTGTATTAAAATATTCTGAAACATTTTGATTGCTGCTGAGTAATGGCCAACAGCAACAAAGATATATCCTAATCAAAGTAATTAAAGTATATAATGGCGCTATTAAGTGGCCTAGTGGAACCCTGATCCAACTTTTAAAGGTATTTCCTTGTTTTAGCAATTCAAGTTCTGAGTTACAGCAAATGCACTCTCGAACCAGGCCTGTGTATATACCGATTCGATCTGCATATGAACCGAGCTACACCATTGCCAACCTCCCTAATTGGAGCAGCTGATTAAGTTGCTGTGGTACCATGTACAGAACAAAAACAGATAGAGATAACATTCCGTAGTAGCCAGAGGGCAACAACGGAAAGTGGCAGCCGGGCCGAGACCACAATCAAATGACTGCCATGAAAGAAACAAAAGAAGATCAGGAGGGAACAAAGAAAGCTGGATGGGAAAGAAGGGGAAGTAGCATTCCCTGTTGAGAGAGAGCCTTTCTAAAAAGCAATATGCCAAAGGGACTGTCCTTATCATAAACAGAGTCCCATACATATCTTTTGATTTCAATGCGCTTGATATCAGAAGAGCTCTCAATGCAAAAAATCTAAAGTGTTGAAAGGGAAAGAGGGCACACAGCAAAAGTTGGTGGAAAAATTGATTAGCATTGGGGTAAAACAAAAATGGGATTGGAGGAAATCATGATTCTTTAGATTGGGATTTGTGAGGGGGACCTCACAAAGGAATGAAATGGCACTTGTCATCCTATTCTTTTCACACAAAATTTTGCTGAGAATGACTCAGAGAAATGGGTGCTAACATAGCATCAAGATGCATAACCAACCATTCCACAGCAAATAAAGAAACGATTCTGTGGTCCTCTGAAGATGACACTTGACAGATCTTATAAAGAGATGCTAAAGATGGTAGCTTGAGATGATCGGTGGTTGAACCAGTCAGTCTATGAGGAGCAATCTTTAATGATAGACGGTGAACTATGTAATGGTTAAAGATTCAGTGCAAGAAATCAAAACTTCCCTCTTAACAGATCCTCAGAGCTCATAACTAAACTGATGATAATAAGGGTGCCAGATTCTTAGTTTCCTACTATTAATTATATTGCCTTAAAGGTATCCTAGTATTAGAAACAAGCAATACTAGCAACTTACTTAAAGCAGGTTGCTAGAACTAACAGCACTAGGAATCAGTCTGAGGCTAGTATACAGAGCAAAATGTTATAAATACTGCCAGCTAGATCTGTTAAAAGTTGTATGCCTATAATGACATTATAAAGAGTGACATAAAGAAAATTAATTTCCTTACATATTTAAGAGAACTAACCTGTTCCAACTGTTGCCAAGATGATATACATTGATAGCCTATATGAAACACCAAGCAGGCAAGAAGAACATTAATGACTGTTTTTCTCTCGAAAAAACTTCATGTCTGAGCCCTTTTAGTGTCAAAATTTCAAGAATGAGCACTTCCTTGGCATTTTATCTTCAATACCTAGCAATCCTGTTGCTTTGCACATCACAACAAGATAGTGAATGGACTTGTACCTTGGCTGCAAAAGTGAGTGATTTGAGAAGAGTACTGCTATCGAGAGATAAGATTTGCCTTTCATTTACAGCTTCTACTTAGTGGACATATATCATACCTGTTAGTGTTTCAGGTACAATCACTGCAACGACAGTCAACAAAAATGAATTCCTTGAAACTTGAAGAATCATATCTACTGCAGATATGGCATATCTGCTCCATGTTCCCAATCAAAGAAGAAAAGGGAAGTATAAAGAGTGGCAGTACAATAAGTTGTCTCAAAATCAGATGGATCCACTTGAAAAAAGTGCCACTCAACTAATCATATACCTAGGTTTTGCTGGTGAGATAATAATGTTGCCACCACATTCGATCTTCAAGACTTCAACAGCTAGCAATGTCTATATCCCCATTACGGCATCTGTTCAACAAAACCAGGCTTAAGCTTTCAATATCCTAACTTCTACAAACTGCATGCTGAATCTTAAACATGATCATCAGAAGAACATCCTTACGCGTGTGAAAGGCACAAATGACTCGTCGACGATCCTTTTGCTTGTCACATATCTAAGGCACCCTACACAAGCTCACCTAGCATATGCCAATGACAAAGTACCCTTTGGAACTAAATAGAAAATTTCAGGTGTTATTGGTAGGAAGAACTATATACAGTGGCACTTGGAAAAAATACAATGATCAGATTCAAGCTTAACATTCTTGCAGCTTCACACGTCCAAAAGCAATGATCCAAATGCATAAACACTGGCACCATTGCAAGGACATCAAGATCCACTGCCAACACACGCAATATGATTCTTTCAAGGTTCTATGATCATACACCTACCCCAAAACTATAACATACACATCACATACAGTCAGGTGTCTGCTTCTCTCTTGATATGCCTAATTGCCCTGCCGAGAAGCCTTGTTCCGAATTTCCTCGCTTGTACACCTTTACCCAATTAATTACAGCTACGAGAAAGAACAATCTAACTATGAAAATTCCAGGGATTAATCCTTCTCAGCGAGAATTGCTTCTCACAAACTGTGGAACCATAGGCCAGCCTGGCCTGGCATTTCTCTGCCTATTATCACTTTTCGTCCTTCAGATTCTCATTCTACAGATACTTCAGGACTCCATAAGCAACAGTCCCAGCAACAAAGAAACCAACTGTTGGTGTGAAAGTTGGATACAGATACTTCACAAAGAACCTATACCATTCTTCTGGCAGGAACCCCTGGGACCAAATTGACACATCTAAAAACATTCACGAAGGGAAATTCGAACTTGGGAGAAGAAGAAATGGAACAGTCTAGCCTTTTTACCTGCTGCAGCGAGCAAAACGCCCTGAACAAGAATGACTCCGCCGAGCCCTAACCAGGTGAGCACAAAAGCACTCTCGTTCGTCCCCTGCTCTTTCGCTTTAGCTTCATCTACCCGACCGCCGATGAAATCCGGCTTCTCGACCGGCGACCCAAAACCTAGCCCAGGGGTGACGGCAGCGGCGGAGGATTTCTTCGTCGGAGAAGGGTCGTTACGGGGTTCTGCTTCGGTGGAGGAGGGATTCTGCGATCTGATCGAGAAGTTGAACTTCGCCGGGGAGATGTGGAAGCGCGTTTGGGGAAGATGACTATAAGGTTGGTCCAAGAGAGAAGAAGATGGGCCAAAGAGTGGAATTGTAGCGCCATTTTCAGTTTAGTTCGGTACTGAAAAAGGGTTTCCACTTTTCCCCAATCCCATCCCATTCTGAATCGCTATAGCAATTGTTCCGTCCAACTCCCTAGAGTTTTTAGATATAGCTGTTATGGTACCTATTTCTTTCTGATTTTTCATATTTATCCTTTTCAGTTTTCTTGTCGCAGTCGTCGTGGTCCATCTTCGTCCATCTTTCTGATTGACATAATGTTCTAAAGAGCTTGAGTTGGATGGATGGCAGTAGGGGTGGGCATACGGTTCGGTAAAACCGAACCGAACCGAATATAAATCGAACCGAAACCGAATTAATGTTATTCGGTTTGGAATTCGGAAGAGAAAAGGGCATATTTCGGAAATTAGGGTCCTTTCGACCGAACCGAATTTCCGAATTCCGAAACGAAAAACCGAATTATTATAATTGCAAGCTTTAAATGGTGGATTTTTATGTTTCTACTTATTATGAGACTTAAATATTTGAATCATGTTAGTGTTTTATGACTTATGTGTTGAAATGTTTGATTTTATCATTGATGATGCATATTTATTGTTCACATTATGGTTGAAAAATAATTTATAAAAGAGAAGATACAAGCTAACCTCACTATTTCGGTTTTGTATGAAAAACCGAACCGAACCAAATTATAATTCGGTTCGAATTCGGTTTGAGGTTTGCTAAAATTCGGGGACCCGGTATGCATAATTTTGGTTCGGTTTGAACCGAACCGACCGAATGCCCACCCCTAGATGGCAGTGGTATTGGCTTATGGCTCTAATTAAAGTGTCAATGTAGTAAAGAAGGATCACGTTCTACTCTGATATGGAGATGGGAAGGTGTTTACCACTAAAAACTCACTCAATACCACATTGATTATTTTCAAGGAGTGGTAGTGATTTATAGGGCCAACTTAACCATATTAATTAAATTGATTTAAGCTGGGCCTAAATGATGGTATTTTGGGCTTCATACCAGGTACCTCAACACACACTACTTGACCCACCAAACACCCATCCGTCACGCAAGAGGGGTCAAGTGTCAAACGTGTTGACACCCTTCAACATCAACCACCCAAGTGGGCACCCCATCATATCATACTTAGCCAAAATTTCGCCCCACTAGCCGCCTACCTACCTCGCGGGTAATTACCCCTAGACATGATGGGACAAAGAAAAGCCGCCTACCAGGTACCAAAGCGTGTGGCAAGGGGAGAAGGGCAACGCAAGTCACTAGACTGTGATGGGAAAGAAGACCAAAATTTGGCTAAGTGTTGAGACCCACAACACAAGGGGGGTCAAGCATGACATCACGCAAGGGGGGTCATGCATGACACCGTCCAAGGGGGTTAAGCACAAGGGGGGTCAAGCACTATGCCATGTACCTACCTTGCACCACGGGGGTCATGCATGACACCGTCCAAGGGGGTCAAGCACTAGAGTGTCAAACATGATGCCGAGGTGAAAATTGGTTAAGCATTGAGATCCAACCGTCCAAGGGGGTCAAGCACCGGATACCAAACACTAGGGTGGCAAGCATGATGCGGGGGTCGGATCCATCGAACCCCCAAGCACCCTGGTGTCGAGCACGATGTCATGTCAAGGTGGTTAGCACGAGTACCACCAAGCATGAAGCCTTCACTCACCAAACAAGACACCTCTATGGCACAAGGGGTTAACTATCAAGTGGCAAGCACGCAAGACAGTCAAGGCGTCAAGCAAGCTACATCAAACACCAAACAGTGGATCGGCGGTTACCAAGAGGCGGTTGCACGGTGATTACAAGGGATGGATATAAATAGGAGAAACAAAGACGAAGCAAGGGTTCCACAACCAACCATTTGACACACTATGTCAAACTTTATCTTTTTCTCTGCAAATTAGCCATAGCCTTAGTTTTCGGAGCTCTCACTGAACCTCCATAGGAGTAGAGTAAATTAACTTAGTTTGTCCCCAAAAAACCATCAAAAACATCAAACACCCTCGTTCGAACATTGTTCGGAGAGGAGTGAACCGTGCTAGTTTCGTTGTTCAAGAAGTCGAAAGGTGCATTGATTGTGTTCAAACACCAGTTTTTCCTCGCCGGAAAACCAAATTGGCACACCTGGTGGGACACTGTGTGTTTGATTTGATGGCTCCACGACTGAGAGAACAAGAAGGTGATCTTTCACCTGGGTTTGTAAAAGAACTAGTAGCCACTTATGATCTTGGTCAATTAGCAAAAAGTGACGACGGAAACAATGGTGGGGTAAGAGGCCAACCATCACCGGCGCCTTGTTTGGGTGTAACCGCCACCACCTTGTCTCTCCACCAGTCACTGCTGGTAGAAATAAAATTAATGGAGGAGGCTATGGTGGGATACACCAAACAAATGGTATCTCAACTTGATTTTTTCCATACTCGCATAAATCGACGTTTGGATCAACTGGATGAGATTTGCGAGATAAATAAAAATAATTTTAAGGAGTTTTGTCAACTTTCGATAGAACCAGTGTTGAGATCGAAAATTTTGGAAAAAGATGGTGTAGATCTACCGTCAAACATTACTACTGGGTATACGAGTAATCTAGACTCCGGTGGCCGGACTGCTCAGCCACGGTCAGAGAACTCATCATCTCCGATGGAAATTCAACTACCTCTTCAACATGGTGGTTGTGGCGAGAATCTCGCTCCCACGTTCACCACTCATGTAAAGCAACCGCCTGTGCCGACAGTTACTCATAAAAGTGTCTCAGAGGCTAGACCATGCTTGAACGTGAGAGTTGGTGGAGGGTTAATAGCTAATGTGCTACCACAAGCTTGCCCAACCTCGATGTCATATATGCTCGAGCGGCTTGGTGGATGCAAATCGCTAGGGGGGCATGCAGACGGCCATGTAAGTCTACCTAACAAGGTGAAGTGTCAGGCTGGGGGACACATTGATGTCAAGAAAATCGAACAAAAGGGTGTGTCCACCAGAATACCATGTTTATCGTCTAAGGCTTACATGAGGTACATGTCATCAACCACAGGCAGTGGGTTGACAGTTGTGTCCAAGAAGCCACTACAATCCCAAACCACATGTGCTGCTGGTAAGAATGTTAGCGTGGCTAAGGGGGGCAAGGGGGACATGTCTCCATCTCCATGCAGTGGACAGGGGGGCATGTCATCAAACATGATGAATGGAGTGAGTGGCAAGTCTAAGCGGGTGTTGGACATCCATGCCACCCATGATTTTCATAACTTTGACAGCGTGTCAAAGAGTGGACAAGGAGGCAAGGCCCCTTGTAGCATGCCACCCATGAATGGTCGACAAGGGGGCATTTCACCAACCACAAACAATAGACAGATAGACGTGCCCAAGAAACCACAACAAACTCAAGCCACACATGCTTATAGTAAGCATGATAGTGTAGCTAAGGATGACATGGGGGGCATGTCATCAATCACCACTAGTAGGTTGATAGGTGTGCCCAATAAGTCACAACATGAATCCACACATGCTTTTGGTAAGCATACTAATATGGCTAAGTTCGGAAAGGGGGTCATGTCAACAATCATGAATAATGGTATGTGGGACATGTCTCCAACCACTGGAAAGGGGGGCATGTCACCAACCATGAAGAAACAAGTGGGAGAAGATTATATGAGTGTGCAACACACCCAAGCCACTCAAAAAATGTCTAAGTATGAGAGTGTGTTAATAGATGGACAAAGAAGCAAGTCCATGCTTAACAACCCTCATGGCATGCCAAATATGAATGGCAGGGGCATGGACAAGACATCCCGGCATACAAAAACCAGAAATGGTCCTACAAAGAACCAGAGGTTATGTGCTATGTGTAGAAGTCAGCAAGCCGTTAGGTTTGAACAGGATCAGGTTGGTCACCAGGGTGGTCGTCGACTTGTTGAGTCCAAACACTCCTCGTCCCAACTATATGGGATGATTAAGCATGGTTGGGCGAAACCAAGGAAGATAAAAACTCGTGGTCTCTTTCATGAGCCCAAAGAGTTGAGAGTACCTAGAGTACCACCAGAAACGAGACAAACACATCGGGTTCATCATCAACAACCCAACATGTCTAGTAAGGTGGCTAAGCCGGAGGAGCAGGGAACCCCTTGCAAGCCCACCAAGGCAGGACATGTTGAGCGAGTACCATCTTTTGTTAAGTTGGAAAATTCAAAATCAACACCAAAGGAGTCATATCTCCTTAAGGAGGAGAAACATGTTGTCTATGGATGGCTTGTCTGGTTTAATCCATGGACTTGGCAGTGGGTATACACCTTTGGCACGTTTGTGGTGGCCAAAGGGTATGGAGAACAGTGATGCATGTCACTCTTTGCTATATTAAAATAAATAAATACTAGTAAAATAAGAGAGAAAAAGCCAACCATGGCTAAAAAAAAATAGAGTTGTAACACTTGCGGTGTGAAGACTTTGCATTGATTTGTAGACAACGAGTAAGGTGGCTGGATCTATGGAGCCCCTTACGATCGTATGAGTACACCATGCCACTTCATGGCATGAGTAGCTGACTGGCTGTCCGTCATGGATCATGTACCTTCCATACCACCTGTCTAAGGATGCAAACTTGCTGAAAGAGGATCGGGTGCTACATGATCGGTTAATCAATGCAAGTATCTCAAGCCTTATGTCCATTTTTCTTTGGGGCAAGGGGTATCGACGGGTTCAAAGTTAACCAACCATCCTGATGGTAGGCATGACATGACACCCTCTTTGTGGACAGAGCTTGCATAGCTAGCCATGACACGGAGGGCGTGTTGGGAGAGAATAGTGGAGACAGTGATTGATTTTGACCTTTTAATTATCAAGACCAATGACGGTTGGATATGCTGCAGGGGTGGTTTAGTGCGTTTTGGTTTTTATTATTGAAACAAACGAGCATTTTTTTTAGTGGTGTAGTTGACGTTAACTACTTAGTCCATAATCCATATGCACTAAGTAGTTGGGGGGCATTTGTTTACCACTAAAAAATCACTCAATACCACATTGATTATTTTCAAGGAGTGGTAGTGATTTATAGGGCCAACTTAACCATATTAATTAAATTTATTTAAGCTGGGCCTAAATGATGGTATTTTGGGCTTCGTACCAGGTACCTCAACACACACTACTTGACCCACCAAACACCCATCCGTCACGCAAGAGGGGTCAAGTGTCAAGCGTGTTGACACCCTTCAACATCAACC